TAGCCTGCAGCATGTCCAGCATTTGACTGACTTTCTCTTCACAGGCATTAGCAGCACACTTCAAGCACACCTCGTGGATATATTTGGCATATCCGTAGGCATTTGGAAAGCTCCTATGTCCCACAATGTTCGGATATCAATCACGTGATTACAATCACCTCGTAAACCGCAATGGCAACCTTTACCATTAACATCCTTACCAACTGAGAGAGGAAATGTAGTAGAATGAAAGCTGCCAAATGGGTCCAGTGATAAATCATACACTAACACATGACAAACATCGTCTCGGTTTACTATTCCTTAATTTTCCACATTCTCTACAAGCAATAATAAGTCTTGGGTGCCTTGGAGCCCATGCACTTATTTTGTCCTCACAGTATCAGCTATAAAGATAGCGTCTTCTTGGAGCCCTGACTCATTATTACTCTGGTAGGGATCTCAATAATGTCCCCGGTCAAATAGGTAAGCACCTAAGCATGAGATGTCTAGAATATTGCTAACTCAAGGGAAGGCTCAGGCACAATGCTGAGCTGTTTTAGCGAATTTATGCTGAAGTATTTCTCGTTGACAGGTGGTCTAAAGACATGCACCAACATAACCACTTTCCACAGATTTGCTTACAAATGATGACAGTATATAAGCTTTCGGTGCCTGGATGCTTTCTTCGAATATTTATTTTGTTTCAGGGAAGGAATTTGTTAAATGATAGCTATATAATCCAAAGGCAAATTTAAACCCTTCATGAATTACTCCAATTCTATACTCTTGTGGCATCTCGGGTCCTCCCCAACATCGTAATGACACAAAGCAGCACAGTGGAATATTTACTGCCATTGGGCAAGAGGGCATCGACGACGAGGTGTCGTGCTGCCAGGCGGAAGTACTACCTACCGAAATATTTCGCCCGAGAAATGAAATAAATGGTAAAAGTGTGTCAAGTAGCTACAATTTGAAGGAAGTAAATTATCCCATTTATAGTTGTACATTTCCTAAAAATTGCAAATCTTTAAGACTTTTTAAATACAAACGATGGATACTATTTGGAAGCAACGAAGACACGTGAGTTCCTTGTCTAAAATGAGAAGCACCTGACGCAATGCAGCCGGTCCTTCATTATTTCACGTAGTTTGCACAACAGACGCGCTATTCCGATAGCATTGGCAGGCAGAGACACAGTCAAGCCGACACAGTTGCATGTAATGGGGAATGACTTTTGCATTCAATAAAGCATCTTTTAAATGACCGCATTGTTGATATATTTGAATGTTTAATTCATCCATTCAAGCATTCTAATCACCTGACACACTCACTAGCCA